TAAGTCCTATTTCAATCCAAAAATCGTTGAATACTGGCTACAATGGCTCTGGTTCCAGTAAAACTCACTTTTCTCCACACACGAAAGGAAAGGAAAAAATAACAATACTCGGCATGTTGAGGGGTGGTATGATGAGTTGAATGAGACAAAATATTTGGCTTCATCGCTTACGTAGAAAAAACTAGATAGGTTTAGAAAATCGACCTATACGTGGTACACTCGACGCCATTTGAAGCGCCACCACCAATAGTGTTTTGGATCTTGAGTCGATTTAACAACTTATTTCTACTCAGTTTTTAATGCTGAATCTGAAAAAACTAATTTCAGAAGGCAGAAAAAGAACAAAATAGAAAATTTAGCACATTTCGAGAAAGGATGCCATTTTCTCAAAAAGCGACATCTTTCGAGTATTTCGTAGTTTTCGACCGGAAAGAAGCATTCGCTAAGGCTAAAAAGTAGTTTTTCGTGATCAGCGGGCTCAAGCTCTATCAAATGATGTAAAAAAAGCAGGAAAACAATTTTACTGAAAGTTTGTATTACCTGCACCTTACAAAAAAACGAAACAGCCTGTTTTGTCTGCTTAAATCTGTCTACATAACACCTAATACAGCTAGTAAAGATCTATACGCGTCCTATCCGGCTAATTTGCACTCAAGTTAATAAAACTAAGATATATAAAAAAAGTCGATTGAAACATTATCTTAATATAATTATCTGTTGTTCATTGTTACTATCGTATAAAACCCTTCAAAGATTTTCGCAAGGGATTTCTCAGTGATTTCGACACCGATTTCACGATTTCTTAGTTGTTACTTTCTGAAACACAAATGAAATTTTAGCAGTTTTCAAAAGTTCAGAAGCGTTTCTTACGTTCTTAATAATATGATTATTTCTAGAGAAACTCTGAAGTAATACTAGATCGACAATTGTGCGTAACTTCTGCCAAGATTCATATCTAATGGAAGAGGTTCGAGCTGATTTTATAGTTATCGGAGGTGGGTCGGCCGGATGTGTTGTAGCTGCAAGGTTAGCCGAATATGGTTTTGAAGTTCTACTATTATCGAGTGGGTCAAATGATACAGGAAACTCATTGATGAAACAGAGTTCTTCATTTATACAACTCTTGCAGAGTCCTCAGTTTAAACATCATCTATTTCACACACCATTACCAAATTTAAATAACCGAACATTGGAGCTTATTGTTTGGAATAGTCTTGGAGGCAATAGCATTAACTGGGGTGGAATGGAACGTATGACGAAAAGCGAATATGATTTATTTGTTAATGCCAGCGGTGATGAATCATTTTGTTTAGAACGTATGTCGATGTATTATAAAATGGTTGAAAACTTTGAGACAACGGCACCGTTTCCAGTCGACGGAATTCACGGAAACAATGGTCCCATTCGTATGATACATGTTGATGAACCTCTTTTTTCTGACGTATGGAAAAAAGTCGCTCATGAACTCGGTGAAACTTTTAGCGACGATCTGGCAGGTCCTATTGATTACGGTTTTTCATTCGAACCATCATCATTCGTTTACGGAGTGAGACATTGGAGTGCTTCCGAATATTTAGTTCCTGCTTTAAATAAATATCCGAACCTCACTCTAATTACAGGCGCTACTGTTACAAAATTCAATGTGAATCCAATTACAAAGCGTATTGACAGTCTCTTTTTCGTCTCTTCTAATGGTTGCTTCAGTGCTGTTGCTCGAAAAGAATATATTTTATCTGCTGGCACATTTTTCAGTCCTCATTTACTTATGCTATCGGGTATAGGTGATCCTGAACTTCTTGAGAAAAATAATATAGAAGTAAAACATGCTTTGACTGAAGTTGGAAAGAATCTGACTGACAATGGTATTCTCAAACTTGAATATGAAATGAAGGGTTTGTCTGCTGATCATTGCATACCGGTTGCTTTAGTTAATCGTCAAATGAAGACAACTGAAACAAATTCCGATTTGTTCTTTGTTATAAAAATGAATCGTACAACAGAACATCTTTATGCGCTTATCTTCAATGCCTCACCGAAATCACCTACTGGTTCTATTTCATTGTACAATTCCAATCCACTCATGCCGCCAAAAGTAACTTTCAATTATCTTGAAGATGAAAAAGACATTGAGGTGTTTGTAGACGGTGTCAATTATCTTCGACGAATAATGTCTACAAACGCAATAAAAAAAATTGCTCAAGTGACTGAAATTTCACCAGGCAGTCAAGAGACGAACTTGTCTAATTATATCCGTAATAATTTAATACCTGCGAATCATTTCATTGGTACGTGTTCGATGGGACAAGATGCAAAGACATCAGTGGTTGATAAAGATTTCAAGGTGCACGGACTAGACAATCTTCGCGTTGTTGATGCATCTGTATTTCCAAAAGGCTTCGTGTCTAAAGCAGGTCCCTGTTTGACTATCTATGCTTTAGCTGAGAAAACTGCAGACATTTTGAGACAACAGTATTCATGATAATAAAATATTTTTTGTCAACATCTGCAGATCCTTAGTTGAGAAAGTTTGCAATATATTTGTACATGATGTATGCACAGAAGAATCAAATTTCCTTTATTTAGACATATATTATAGTTCTGATCTTTCAACGTCGTCATATTCTCATGCCCAATACGTACATATTCCTATATAAACCAATGCGTATGTGCTAGATGCCACTTGAGAGCTCGACTATATACTCAACTCATGTCCCATAATTCAATGAAACTGTGTCAGTTCGTAGCACTAAGTATTAATTGAAAAAACTTACAAAATGTAGGTTTTAAAACTAGCTACTTATTGAAAAGAAAAATTCACAGCATAGACTCATGAAATTAATAATGGGGATTATCACATGAGTATTCTTTCATCACATATTACACGATTCTTTAACGATAACGTTCATTAATATTTACACTATGCAAATCACTCATAATGACCGTAACGTTCACCAGACTAGTACCGCACAATAGGAAGTCAAGCGACATGACCCATAGTTTACTTCGCCAAAGTTCAAATATTGGAATAAATAAATAAATATATATATATGGTTGCTCGATCTTAACTTGAAATAAGATCTTCAGAAATCACATCAGAAGTTGATAAAAATACATCACAAAAGAATTTTTCATAAGTAGGTATTTAGAGAAAAAAATCATTTTTATGATCAACTTAACGAAATGTTTTTAACCGAAAACTTATCTGAAATCAATTATTAGTTTATAAGCTTCATTGTGTGAAAAGCTCATTTCAATTGAACCAGAAATGGAATAGAAAAACATGTAAGTATTTAGCTGAAAATAAATTTAACAATTGATCGTATCTTTTTTTTTTTTGAGCGCTACAAACAAATCTAATTCGATTAAGGTCTAACTGCCATCGATTATTTTCCCATGTTTGATTTATTGTTCAATACAGCATCGTGTTGCATCCGTAAACAGAAATAGAGATAGTGGTTTTCTAAAGAAGTAGGTCTCCGCTTTAGAATCATTACTTTTGCGAATACAGAGACATTATTTGCACAAGGCCCATTTGATATCCGGTATCTACTGACAGAGCTGGATTCAGCCATAGATAAAAGTAAGTGTTTCTCAATAAATAAGGAAAGTTTCTGTGAACGGCAAGATTTCGAAAACTACCATTATTGTGCTTGGTAACACGCGTCGAACAATTTAGGCTCGATTATTCATCATATCGCCATCTCATGCTATTGAAAACATATCTGGTGTTATGAATTGACCTAAGATCTAGACTTTTGCCCCGAAATCTTTTTTTTGCAAATAAAACATCACTTTGGTGCTAAAGTGTGGTCATATTTACAAGAAACTCGTCCATTGACATTGAATATGTGTGCTGCATTATCTTTTTGACATAAAATACTTTTGCTCTTTGTTCTGAAAATGCTTCTAAAAACTGGCTTTCTCCATTGTATAAAAACTGCAAAGTTTTAAAATTCAGCTTTACTGGAACTTCCAGCAAATATTCCTCCAATTATGATACACCTTTGACCACAGTGTCAAATAGTACAGATCAATATGAACGGGTTAGACAGTTTTCAAAAAACCTCGATTTTTCATCTTAAATCACTTTGTTGTCATTGAAATAACAACCTAACACAAGACCAAGTTTATATTCGCAATCAGCACATGAAAAAGTAATTTACTAAATCATATATAACCATTTCTTGAGCAAGAAAATTCCATTTTTCAGCACGAAAGTTTAAATGTTCAACTGCTATACGAAAGTTGCTCACTGTGTTCAGGGGTTCTTTTTAATCATTTGTTAGCTAATGGATATCAGGATAAATGCAGATATATATATATACATACATCATTTTTTAGTATAAAGTTATAAAATATATTCTTACCATACTCCTGTTTCTAACAACTCATTTTATTGTTTTTGCATCGATTGGTTGATAATATCCTGGTTCAATAAATGTCAAACTCTGTAGATTCGGTAATATAAACGTTGCTCACTGGAATAATCTGGATCGCGGTTGTTTCCTATACATTATTCTTCATGAATACTAAAAGCAATGATTGATTTAATGAAGCTGATCAACTTTGATCTTCTATACGAATGAACACTTTTTACAATGAATTATGAATAATCTGACAAGCTACGATTTTTCCCGATGTTGCTCCTTTTTCTTATAATATTATTTGGTCTGTTAGCAATTTATAATACAAAAACAGTTACATGTTCTCCGTGTTGCAGTTAACCGTTACCTTCGTACGAAGTGTTAACTAGCATGTATGTTTCTCACTGAAGTAGTTACTTAGATCATTCATAATATATCTTTCTATATACTATATTTAATATTAGTTTTAGCAACTGGATAAAAACCTCTATGAATTGTTTCCTATGAATATATAATTACTTTATTTTTCTAACATTTTTTTCTATACATGCTTTCATCTCAAATGCATAGAAAAGAACTTGTTTTGTTTGTTCGCTAAACAAATTCTTATTGATCCATGATGGTAGTATTATTCTTTCTGAACCAAACCGATAATATCGTCCATTTCGAATAACCTAATTTATTACTATTCGACAGTACTTAATAGAACTAACATTTAAATGAACATAAAACATGATACAGACGTAGCACTAATATAAAAGACTTGACTGTAATTTTAACATTATATTCGAGTAGAGATGAGTAACTTGTTCTCTGTGTAACCAGAAAGTTTTGATTCCATGAATTTCTATCATTGTTCTACTACATCAGACGACATTATGCGTGATATTTGAGCAACATATTGATCAAGAAATGAATTAAGTACTTTGAGAAACAACCAGAATGAATTAAAATTCGCTGGTTACTTGTAAAATATTCTAATTGAATGACAACAATTGTATGACTAGTATTAAAAATATAGATGGCGATAGATCCGTATAATAACTGTCGTTTTGCAGGTTTGAGTTTATATGAAGCGTTCTGTTTCTCGACTAATACGATTTCTTCGTATGTGACTCAATGACATTGATTACAGTAGAAAATTTAAGACCGAATTAAGAAATATTATTAGTCGAAAATTTAATTCATATTTAATGTATTTTCAAAAGAGAAGCATTATCGGCACCAATGAACAACGATACCGTGTGTAATCATAAACACATGAAACAAAGTTTTAAAAGTTTAAAAAAAACTACATATATATAGTAATGAAAAAGAATAATACTAGCAGTGGGTCCTCTGTCATTGTTCACAAACAAAATCCACAATACTTGTTTTTGCAAAAGTGCATGTTATTTATGCAGTACGACTACATCATAGTGGCAGTCTGACTTTTTATTCGTGCATTAACTATTAGATGTACACGCATGTCGATTTATTACCATATTAATGCCACATCCTTTTTCTAGCGTAGACAAGGTCACTCTGAATGAGTTAACGAGTTTCTGTTTGAAAGGCATTGACTACTCTTTTTCTTTCTTTGCTTTTTTCCGAACTAAATTGTGACCTTTTGAATTAAATGATTTAACATGTCATCTATCTTTGTTGAAGACTTTAATAAGAATTTTTCATTTTTTTAAAATATTTTTCTAGAATCATGTCATCCCAGCAACGTACATTTTCGTTTCGTTTGATGACTTACAATATTCGTCTTGATACTATGAAGGATGGCATAAATCAATGGTATCATCGTAAAAATCGTGTTATTAATCTTATTCAACATTATTCACCTGATCTACTTGGTGTTCAAGAGCCTCTTCCTCAACAAATGACTGATTTACAAACAGGATTATCGAATTATGGTTCTTACGGTGTTGGTCGAAACGATGGCCGAGACAGTGGCGAATTCTGTGGAATATTTTATCGGCATGATCGTTTTGAACTTAATGATAAAGGTACTTTTTGGTTGTCAGAAACGCCAGATATGCCTGGTAGTAAAGGATGGGATGCAGCTCTTCCACGTATATGTAGCTGGGTGAAACTTAAAGATCGACTGGCCAACAAAGAAATTTATTATTTCAATACACATTTTGATCATGAAGGTCGTATAGCTCGTCGACAAAGTGCTCATCTTATCTTAACTCGTATAGAACAGATGACTGGAACTTCGACACCAACAATACTGACTGGTGATTTTAATTCAGGACCCGAATCAGATGCTTATCTTACTATAATAACAAATATTAATTTTCAAGATGCAAAACTTCTGACCGAATCGCCTCATTCTGGTCCAGATGGTACTTGGTGTACCTTCGACGTAAAACATGGTATAGGCGATCGAATAGATTATATTTTCATTACATCACCACATTTCAAAGTATTACAACATGCACATTTAACTGACTCCGAGAATAAGCTTTATCCATCAGATCATTTACCAGTATTGGCAGAACTGGATTATAAAAATTAATGCAGAAACTAATCAAGCCTAACGTTTTTTATAGATGAATCTATTTGCATTATATTCAGCTTGTTTTGGTATGTTATATTATTGTTATTCTAGAATTGCATAGAATTGCTTCGAGAAAATATATAATGATAATAAAACATTCGAGCAATTCTATTCAAATATAATATTGATCTTAGTTTAGAAGAAATACTGGTTAGAATCTCTTGAATGTTAGAGTGGCAATATTATAAATAGAAAAATTTAGAGAAAATATTTTTCAAAGCTTCTAAAGTCTTGCTTTTATATGTATAATTTTATGAGGACTTTATTCAACCGAAAAATGAATAATTCAAAATAAGTAGAATACTAACGTCACCTCAAAATTCATTTTAGGAATTTACCATATTTGATACATGACATTTGATTTTAGCGTCAGAAAAAAACTGCCAAAAATAGCAATAATATGATCAAGTTGTGTTGATTCAAACGAACACGTAGAACACAAATGAAAACTGTATAAACACAGGGAATAAACGAAGAATAAAAGAAAAAACATTTACTTTTTTCTTACTATTATAGGCTGTTCTAGAGCTTCGAACAACAAAAAACGCCAATAGTTCTTAAACATTACGAGCTATTTATATAAGACTTTTATAGTTTCATTTTACGCTGATTTTATATAACTTCGTATATAATAATTTGTCAGCATAATCACGTTTAATTGATATGTTTCAGTTGATTTGTTTTAAAATAACTAAAAACAAAATTTTACACCAGGATTCTTTTGAAAACATTTTCATCTTGTTATTGATTTTCATGTTCACTTCAACAAGAACTTTAATGAGCATCCGGTAGATATTATTTGTACTATTTGATTTTTTCAACAATTGAATTACAATGAAAATTATCTTATTTCAGAAAGAATAAACATTCATATAATTGTTACTGTCTACCGATATACGTATGCAGGGAAAGTTTTGAACACTTTTCTACAATCTAAAAAAATTTCTTCGTAAAATTATTGAATACATTTTACTTTAAATGATTTAATAAAGGATGTTCTGTCATAATTCTGTGCTGTATCATTATGAAACAGACTGATGAAGCCATTGAATTACTTCCGATAAATAAATATTCACAAACCTCATGCAACTCATCGATATCTTTTCTTCAGTGATCATTTTAGAACATGACCTAAGTTCTACTGTGGAAATTGAATAATGAACGTTAAAATGTGATTTAAAAGCATCAGTTATTTCGTCTGTTTTATTACACTAGACTTGCAGTTTTAGTTTTATCGTTGCAGAAGTCTTCAATGAAGGTAATACTGGAACTGTTGGATATATGACGCTCATAGACATAAATATTTAATTGGAACTATGTTGAGTAATACCCTAAAGAGCAAGTTATGAAACTGTTACAAAGTCATGCAGTTCTTTTGAATTGCTCAAAAGCTATTCACGTTCGTCTGTTAGTCGAACTTTTGAAAGATGTTGCATTTCGACGGTAATTAAAGTTGTCGCAAAGCAGATTACATCTACTATCAGAGAGGAAAATGAGAACAAACCTTTTTTATATAATGAATAACATTAAAACAATGAAATTAATTTGAAAGTTGTGTCTTTTTTCGTCATAAGGTTTCGATGAAATCAACAGATAATCAAAAGTATTGTGTTTGATAGTGTATAGAATTCATTTCAAATTGATTTGAATAAAATTTACTATTTGATATTTCATCATATCTGGTGCAAAATATCAGTTGTTTGTCAATCTTATGATTTTTTTCTAATTGACATGTACTGCAAAATGCATAAAAGCAAATTCTAGAATATATTCATAAGATGTATGAGCTGCATTAAAAGTAATTATATGCTCTCATTTGATTGGTAAACATTTAGTTAAGTTACAAATTGATTGTATTTTATTAATCGAATGGGTTTAATGAGATTAGTTAGCTAAAGATATTATAGTTTTTCTTTCGTTACACATACAGATTATTGAATGCGAGGAGTTTGAGAAACATAAAGCATACTATGATTATAACATGTGTAACAATAAGCGAATTAATAAAGCTCGAGAGTCATGTTAGTATATCACAAATGAACCTAATACGGTCAATAAAAATGCAAAATTAGGGTCATTTTTTTGACCTAACTGTTACACAGTTTACTGAATGATGTAATAGATATATATTTCATCTTAAATCTCTGTGATGGATGTTATCTAGGTGTAGATGTGAGTGTGAATATTTTTCTTCTTTTCGCCAGCGACCTTCACTGTTGATGAAGAAGAACAAAATAGGCCTATTTAAGACTTTATTGCTTCACTTGAAAAGTTGATTATGCACCGCCCATGATATCCTACGAAATTGTTTCTTGCATCATATCTGAAAAAGTACACTATATCAATATTTTATACAAACTATTGGAAATTTATGTATTGTAAGATAAGATATTTATCAAGTACTTGATAAACTACTTCATCGAAACATGTTCAATAAAATTACACTTGAACTTGTCGTTTCGATATTGAGGTGGATTTTTCAAATAGTATTCTAGACAATCTATTAGATGAATTTTAGTCATGTTGATGATCAAACTATACTTTCGAAATTTGTCTTATCTCCTGTCGTTCTAATATGTTACTCTTCAAAATATGACCTAGTTGAGTTTCCCCATGAGAGAAAATAGCTAGTTTTCTTTAAAAAGTTTTAAAAAATACTTAGCTTTTACATAGGCAATCTGTGCCTCCGAAAGATTAAAAATGTTAACTATCCATAACAGAAAATTTCCAAGGAGAAATGTACAGCACAAGAAATAGTTAGGAAAGGGAAATTATCTAGCCTCTACCTTCTAATTGTATGGCCTGTCAATGACACTCTTTTGTGACTTATCTAATCTTCTGTGGCATTATATCAACATTGATTTTTGTGTGAATATTATAGAGTCATCTTACTATTTTCTAATAACTGACGTGTCTTTCATAGAGTTTGTATGCTAGGTCTTATGTGAAGTACCATTTAGGAAAGTGTCTAAATATATTGGTAGAGCTCTGAACACAACTTCTCAGACTAGCAGACACATCAGTACTATTGCTTCATCTGCAAGGATTCAAGTAAAACATGATAAAATTCAAAATATCAGTTCTGTGCTCTTCTTTTATAGTTACTATAACATATTTGATTAATATCTTTCATCATCAACATATGAAAAATGATCCTTCGCCATACTTCTATGATCAACGACTTCTTTTTTCTTTCAATAAAAATCTATTCGGAAAGCGAACCATTATCTATGGTTAAATCTTCACTGATTGCAATTTTATATTCACTATTTCTTTTTTACTGTTTTGAATTGCTTGGCTGTAGTCTGTCGATTAATAATTGGTCTTGATTTGCCGCCATATGGAGAGAATTCGAAAGAACAAACGACGAAAACATTTGGTTACTGTTGTTTTTGTTTTTTTGCTAAACGTTTTTCATTCTTTTGCAACAACGGAAGAGAATGAAACGAGAAAAAAATTAGTAAAATATTTTTTTGCATGTGAACACATTCGCCAAATTGACAAATCAAAACACGATTGTTGCGTGGAACAAGTAAAATGACACCAGTATATGATCGATCGTCGGAAGAAAATAAAGAGAGTGTCACTCTCGTTTGGTTTGATTCGGACATTGGTGAAAAGATTGACACAGCAGACAGATTGAAAATGCTACGGGCAATCAATGACTATGTTCTCACCTTTACTGACATAGAACAATGTATTTCATATATTAAATCTGTCAATCATGAGAAAATTTTCTTGGTCACTTCGGGTATATGGGCATCATCTTTGTTACCTTCTATTATTGATTTGAAACAACTCGAATTAGTATTCATATTTTGTGCTTGGCGTGAAGAACATTTATATTTAATGGAAAAATTTTCCAAGATATCGGGTATATTCATTGATAGAACAGAACTTGATTTAAGTATTCGCGAAAACCTTCATTTATTCAATAAACAAGTCGAAGCATTTAGTTTCTATGATCAAAAACAGAAGATCTCAATGAATTTATCAGAACGAACAGCGGAATTTCTTTGGTAAGAATCTTGTTTGACATTTTCAAAGATCAGCGATAAAATCATTAGTAATGATCAGATGTTCTTCATCGATCCATTATTGAGACGAATTTGAAATCGGTTGATTATCAATATACTCTGTCTCTTTTTGGTGGTCTTGTTAGAGAAGCCGATTGAACTTAAATAAGTCAATTTTGTGTAAAACATGAATGAATATTATTTCCTTTCATGATTTGAGTAGCCAGTGTCTATGGAGCAATAGAGCTTTGTAGAATCTCTTAAAATAGTTCTGGGCAAAAACAAATTATGTTATACAGTTTAAGAAGAAGTTTTCTTTTTACAAAACTATTATTATTGGGCTTTATCGTCGGATAAAATACAAAATTTTATAAGGTTCTGTAGAAATCTTTTTTTCAGAGAGTAGGAAGATAAAAGCCGATACTGAGGCAGCTTTTAGGTCGATCCTTGTAGACCAGTTCAGTTTGACCTAGTCAAATCGATACTACCCAGCAGACAAAAACGCTTAAGAATATACAATTTCTCGTTATTTGTTTGAATAGATGGTATCGTTCGTCAAAAGTCTTGATTTAATACAATCTTTGTCAAAGACGATTTCATTAAATTTCTAAAATGGTTTTTTCGATACAATTTTTTATACTACTTTCCCTGTTCTTAGGTCGCAACTGTTCCATGATGTTATTCTTCGTTTTCCTCCCAATGATAAAGCAAAACAACAAATGATCAATGCATGTCGTGATTATTATCGAGACAATGAAAGAGAGTTACAATCAATCGATGAATTTGAAAAATACTATACAAGTAAAGAATGTATTCAATGGTACACAAGAGAGACTTTTGTCTATAAAATGGTGAATAAAGCATTACGTACAGAAGATGTTGAACAACTGCATACATTTCGTTTCTTTATTGCCGATCTATCATCAACACTGGCAAATGAACACAAGAAGATGATGGAGAAGCCTAATGATGGGATGATAATCACGACTGTTTATCGTGGTGTTCGATTATCACTGACTGAACTTGAAGAATTTCGATCAAACGAGGGTAAACTCATTTCAATTAATGGTTATTTATCTACAAGTCGTTCGCGTTGCATAGCAATGAATTTTACTGTAAATGATAGAAAACAAATTGATTCTGTTCCGGTACTGTTTGAGATTGAATGTCAAAATGAAGAAAGTGCCTGCTCCATTTTTGCAGATATAACGAGTTTCAGTAATTTTTCCAATGAGCAAGAAGTTCTATTTGATTTAGGTGCTGTTTTTAAAGTCCAGACAGTTAGCAAAGAAAATGATATGTGGAAGATTTGCTTAAGCGCAACAAGTGACGGACGAGAAATTGCTAGACAGTACATCGAAGAAATGAAGAAAGAAATGCAAGGAGATAGTGTACTAATATTCTTTGGGTCACTATTGACTCGGATGGGTCACTATCAGACAGCTCAAACTTATTTTCAACAATTATTAAAAAATCCCGGAGACGAAAATCTTGCTTATATTCACAATCAACTTGGCCTAGCTTGTCAAGCGAAGGCTGAGTTTGATCAAGCCATGTATCATTTTGATGCAGCCTATCAACTGATGAGAAAGTCGCGTCCATCTCTTCTTCGAGATTCAGCACATGTATTGCGTAATATGAGTCATGTTCTAATGGAGCAAGGGCATTATGAAAAAGCACTTAAGCACTGCAGTGAAGCCAAAACACTTTTGGAAGAGTTGAACGATTCGTATCAACTCGAAATAGCACATTGTCTGCATAGTATCGGATCGATTTATCGAGGTCTATGCAAGTATGTTGAAGCAATCACTTATTATGAACAAGCATTAAATATCAAACGAGCTTGTTTACCTGAAATTCATGTTCACATTGCTGAAACTTTGAATTCAATCGGTCTTGTTTATCTAATGACCAATGATATTGAAAAAGCATTTAATTTTTGTCTTTCATCTCTTGAAATGTTTCAGACATGTTTGCCGGAAGATCATTCTGACATTGCTGATGTTCTTCATAATATAGCCGATTGTTATCATAGTAAACGTCAATATGATAAAGCTCTTCAACATTATCATCTTGCACTGGCTATGAAAAAAAAATGTTTTCTTCCAGGCCATCCATCAATAGCTACGACTCTTAATAACATTTCCACCGTACTTAGTGCTAAGGGAGACAAAGTCAAAGCACTTGAATTATGCTTGAAATCGTTAAGAATGCGACAACGAGTATTACCTTTTGATCATCTAGATCTAGCAACAAGTTTAAGTAGTGCAGGACATAAATATGAAGCAATGAAAGAATATCAACTTGCTTTGGAATATTTCAAGAAAGCATTAGCAATTCGAGCAAAATTTTTATCGGAAGATAATCCAGTACGTAAAAGAACAGAGAGACATGTCATTCGTATGAGATGGAAAGTAACGTGAATGAAAATTAATAGGTTTTTTGTTTTTATTTTCTCAAATACATTGTCAAACTTACTCCTGTTCGTCTTTCTTTTTAAATAAAATTAGAATATTTTTTACGATATCAGGCATTTGTTTCTATCATATCACAGAAAGTATAATCATGAGAATTGAAAGATAAATTACACAAACGCAAATGAAAAGAGTAGATATATTAATAGCAATAGAAACTATTCGTTTTGTAAAATTACGAGAACAAGTAGAACAACAAAGAAAAATTTTTATATACTCATATTAGAAAAAAAAAAGACAAACAGATACAAGCAGAGCCAATCAAGCGAAGAGAGTTGAAAAAAAATCGATGACATATAGTACGAATTCTTTAAAATTTCAAGAAATATTCTATTGGCATGAAGCGTTTGGATTATGACATCAAAGTCATTCAACATACAAAATCAAACTTGGATTAAGGATAAAAACTTATCTTCATTGTGGGTACTAAAACTAAACATAATTGAATTTTGTGGAAATATTTCTTCCGTAACGTGATAGTGGTATCGGATATATTGCTAGAGTACTATTTTGATTTGTTATCACATGAAGTCTGCCCATATCACATGTTTGTTCACACTATCGTTGATGTACCACAATACGCATAAGAATCAGTGGTGACGCGTACGACTTTCGATTCTAGTGATAATCGAATGCACAGTGCTTTTTACTCGAACTCGAATTATTTATTAGAAATAATTCAAACTAATCGAGAAGAAAACAGTTTCAAAAAAACTTTTTTACAGCGTCATCTATAATAAAAATTTATTACATGACTGGGGCCGATTCGAACTATATGGCTAGTATAGACGATTCAGACGCATCAATATTATTGGTATCACATGTGTCGTGTCGCGTTGAATCTCAAATATCTTGTTCAACAATCTAATAAGCTCATTTCTGTAGATTCTGGCGAAAAGAATATGCAGGATGAAAAGCATAATAAACGATAGATAGAGTGATCGTTTGAAGATCATGAGCTAAAAGTGAAGCCGAAGAACAAATGAAAATGAAAGTAGCAGGGTCAGCATGAGAAATATTGTACAGACAGATAGATTTTACAAAATGGGAATGAATGCATAGAGAATAAGCTGTCAGACAGTGCAAGAACAAAGTGAGACTGCCGTACAAATGATATCTAGAATCAAGTAAGTTGGCTTGGAACAAGGAATAAGTACTGGTGCAGCACAAGGTTGAGAATATTCTATACAATTACTCTTGTCCTTGTTTATTTATATACTTAAAAAAGTGTCTAATATGTAGTTTTGTGACTGAAATGATCATTAAAATAGCTTAATTATTATAGTAAAGTAGTTTATGGATTATTAGACAATGCAGGTTTGATTCCCATCGCGCTTCTATGATTGTCTTCTATTTGGTCTTTTATGCTAAATGGAGCATGCCGACTGCATGTATTCCATAAAATAAAATAAATTTAAGTCTGTGGATAAGTAAAATGATTACAAGTTTGTCGTAATAACTGTAGTTCGTTTGCTTGAATTATATATATATACATTACTGAATGAATATTTTTTTTGTATTTTTAGGAAAATGTTAGGTATCAGTCAAAATTGTATTCTTATCATTGATGAGAAACTTCAAACTGGTAGAATATTTCTATGAAAACAATAATTCATCGATCTATTATTTCAGAATTCAAAGTTGTTGATTTCTCAGTAACAATATTCTTTTTATCCGAGAAAAAATATTCAGAGTGTATCGAAGCCAGACAGAAAACTCTGATGCGCTCGATGGTTGAGCTAAAGCTTCGTGAGTAACAATTTTTACAGAGAGAGTCGAGTTTTAGAGTCAAAATGTTCGACTTCACAAAGCACTAGCAATCTAATATCATATGCTATAGTATATTGAAATCGATTTTTTTTTCAATAGAAATAGAGATTTTCATCGTAAGGAGATATCGATTCAATAGAAACACCAATAGAATATTGGTAAAAGAAAAGGAGTAAATCATTTGAAACAGCGGTTCCAATTAAAAATAGACGACATGAGAGTAGATCGTTTTCCATTAAATCATGAAACGTGTTTCTTTTTTCGTCAAAAAGACACAAATTCAAGCACACCGACGCAACTTACACACTGTCTCTTATCCGTCAGCCTACGTTGAAATCAAAATGATAGGTTTATTTGTTATGTTTTGACGATGGTGAGGTGATGGTCACATCAATCGTTGACAGCGCCCGAAGAAAATAGGGCGGTTTCATATACTTTCTCTCCATTCTTTTTCACAGAAAACATGCTATGCTTACATAAAGTATACTTGAGTGGTTGTTTTCATTCTTACAGAAAAAGGTTTCGTTGGCAATCGACGAATAGCTAATTCTATGGACCGTAAGTGGTTGTTCTTTTTGTAAATTCTATAAGGTACAAAACAGTCAATACTCAGGGGAACAATTCTAAATAATCGCTTATTAACATATATGGCATGCCTTTGAGTGCGCTCATACAGAAGAATCATGCGCCGTGTGTAATTGAATTGTGAAGTCAGTCTTAGAGAAAGAAGACTGTAAGAGAACACTTGTTAAATCACATAGTGTAAAGAAAAGTATGAGAATAAATGGCCTTGGATCGGAATAGGTTGCAATTCACGACTGATTTGTTGTTGCTCAGGGGGTTACCTGTTGTTTATCGTTGAAACACTGTAACCAAATAAATACCAATTCAAAAAATATTTCTTATATTGTCGTCATTAATTTACTATTACTAGACAAGCATCGTGTACTCGTGGTTCTGCATCGATCTTACATACTCGAATTTCTTTCTATAATGATGTTCAACTTACTCATTTTTGCTCTTCTTGTTGTGTTCGCTGGTAGTGCTTATGCTCAAATCTACACAACGTCGGAAAGCACAGGCGGAGATGGTATTGGTGCTGTCTACACGATGTCCAATGCAATGGATGCCAATAAGATTATTGTCTATCGTTTAAATTCGAATGGCAAATTAAGTTATGTTCAATCAGTGCCTACATATGGCGTTGGTGAGAACACTACTAGTAGCAACCAAGGACGAATTTTACGAAGAGCAATACAGGTTAATCGGAATTACTTATTTGCTGTTAATCCAGGATCGGATACTTTGTCGATGTTCATAATTAATTCGTCGAATGCGACCACATTAACAAGCCTTTCAAGCAGAGCTGTTTATGGTCAGTATCCAGTGGCAGTAACAGTAAATTCGATGTATGCCTGCGTGTTAACTAGTGGCGATACTGCAGGAATAGGTTGCTTTACTTACAACTTATCAGGATTAGCTTTAACATACTCCGTCACTTATAATCTTACCCAGCATATGATAGGCATCGACTCATGGTCTTTCTATAGAGGACAAACAGGTGAAATTTTATTTTCGACCGACAATCGGAGCTTGATCGTTTCTCTCACTCAAAGTGGCTCTCTCACGCAAAGTAAAATATTTTTCCTTCAATTTAATAATAACACGTTGACACTGGTAGCCAACATCACTATGTACAATAATACATCACCATCGTCAATGACACTAGTAGGCACCGATGGTCTGTTGATTACGAATGGGTCGTTTGTGCAATTTATGAAGTATTCATTAACAAACGGACTGGTCACATTTTACCCGGTGTCATCGACATACCTGTCGTCTATAGGCGGCCTGCTCTGCCCGACGTATTCACCTGCAACGGACAGTTATTATGTCATTGGTAATTCATTAGGCATTATGCAAATGAAAGTTAACCTTACTTCGTCACAAACTGACATATTTCAAATCATTCCATACTACAACTCATTGTGCCCACAAACAAAACAAAGTGATGCAACTGTAGTGACTGTAAATGACACTGATTATATGTTTGTTTTGAGTGCAGAATCACAAATCATTAGCAGCTACCGATTAAAGGTTGGCAGTGATCCGACTGTGAATTGTTACGTGTCTGCACTAGCGAATAGGACAGATTTACTGTCGACCAGAGGCATTGCAGCGTATATCCAGACTCCCACATCATCATCAACTGGAGAAATCTTTTCAAATTTGGTTCTTGTCTTGATTTTCTTGATCCATCTTTTCTAACAATAATATTCCGATTCAATTATGAAATAGAGAAAGAAACTAGCATGACTTCTCGAACAAAAAAAAATCCTCTTTTTTTTATATAAAAGAAAATGAAATTCTTTTTACACTTTTCTTGTAACTTTATATTTATATCAATAAATATTCAATACTCAACTATTTGCACTAGTCTGCTATAGTCATTGCAACTAGCAATAATTTGATATTATCTGAGCTGCATTTCAATTTCAACGCAAGTAATAGTAATTGCTTTGAAAAAATAATAAAGAGCAATAAAATCGTGCTTAAAAAAAAACAATAGAAATTCGCTTTTTCAGAATAAAGAAAGCGTAATATACGCTCATGTTCACATATTTCACAAAAAGAATTCTATGACTTATTAGAGACTGCAGATAAGTGAAAAATCATCCAAGAGGTTAAGAATGAGAAAGCATATTTTATACAACGGCAAATTTTCACAAGCATGAAGAAATTAAAACCTAAGAAAACAATCTTTTGAAAATCTCTCCTCCAACAGTCTAGGATCTAGTTTTCAAAAGACGATTTTATATCAAGGTTCTTAATGAAGAATGTCAGTGGCCCTTATCCTTTTTTTACTCGTCTTTTACACCTCTGGTAAAAAAAAATCAGATGATGTGACTCCAAACACTCAATGGTCCCTATTCAAGACAAGCCTATCGCTTTCTAAAGGTCCTGACAAGCATCACATTACTATTGAGTCCATCAGTTCATTTTATTCTTTGCAATTAAACTGCTGATTGTTTGTTTGTAAAAAACATGCACATTCTTGATGGTTGTATCAAGAGTTGTAACAGACAAAAAATGCAAACAGAACTACATCATGCAATAGTTGGCAACAGTTATCTGAATGTTGAACATGTTTTAGTTAATTTATTATGTTTCTCTTCGTT